GCCTGACTCATGTTGGGAAATGACATTCTGTTAACACAAGCACTTTTGTTTCCTCCTGTGCTTGCTCACTATCCGGTGGGGGCCCTGGCCAGGACTGGCTTTTGATTTTCAAAGCCTCCCCTGGGGGGCTCTGTTCTGCACTCCTATCTAATAACATTAGGGACAGCCCTAGACAAAGAGGGATGGAGAGAAACAGCCTGTGCATCCCTGGGGGATGCTAAGGACATGCTGGGACACAGGGTACATATATACCTCACATCTGAGCTGACCAGACATCCAGGTCAGCAATGTCTGCAAGGCCAGCAACCGACCTTTGTTCATACCAGGCTTTAGGTAGTCATTCAATGCACGGTTGCATAAAGGAACATGAAAGGGTTCCAGGTAAGGCCCGGTGGTTTCTGCTTCCATCAAAGCCTAGCTCTGATGTGTCAAGGAGCTGGATGTAGAAGCAGAGCTCTTAGCTGGGCATAGGAAACATTTTGGAGAAACTTAAAAACTTAATCATAGGTCTGACTTTTCTTGACCAGGTTCTGAATTCTGTACAGCCTAGGAACAAACCCACCTCATGTTCACCTCCCTTTGATTTCCCAATCTTGGTACTTGGTTCAGAAGAAATTTTGGATAGGTACCTTTTGGGTTAAACAAAAATAAAAAGCACCTTTAAGGACTGAGCAGGAGAACAGTGGTCACCATATTTTAAAGAAAATAGGGTGGGTATTCCAGTATGCCCCCCAAAAGTAGTGTCTTAGAGCCTGCTTCCATCCCAGCCCACAGGTCACTGGGAAGTCTCTGGTTCTCTGTAGCAATGAGTGAACAGCATAGGCCCTGCTCACAGAATATTTCCTCCTGCAAAGACTTCTCCATAAGTCTCATTTCTGGTTTTCTGCTTGGATTTATATGGAGTCTTTGCTTTGTGGAACCTGTTTGAAATGACTTCTTTACCCCATTTTGAACAGATCCTCTTCATCTTTAACTTGTTCTTAAGCAAATGATGAAAGCTTTTGGTTTAAGCAGCAGATCCATAAATAATCAGCCTTGGAAAACCATGTTTTCCAGTTGAGAAAATTTCACTGTTTTGAGCAGAACACAGCCAGAATTTATCCATGATCATCACTCCCATCTGAGTATCTTCAAATGTGTAGGGACCTTGTGGGCAAGTCTTATTGGTTGTCCGTGTGCTACTGTCCAGCTTCTCTGCACATTTCCTGTCTCCAGACCCCTTTCCTGAAAGGAGGTAGGGCATATGTGAGCTTGAAGCCAAAAGTCCACACTCCCAAGGCCAGGAAATTTTCCTCAGTTGGCAGTGATGATGGTAGCAGACAAGTCCCCAATAGCTGGCAAAGGAGAAGACTCTTGAGTCTAAGGACAGACATATGCTTGCTTACGTAGGCCCATGTAAGCAAGAGGAGAAGAAATGATATTCTGTTGGGGAGGGGTGCTGAGGATGTAGCTCAGTGAGTAGAATGTTTGCTTAGCATGCATGAAGTCCTGGGTTTAATCCCCAGCAATGCCTAAACAGGCATAATAACCTACACCTGCAACTCCAGCACTTGGATGGTAGACCAGAAGTTCAAGTTCATCTTGAACTGCGTAGAGAATTCAAAGCCAGCCTAGACTACATGAGACACTGCCAATAAACCAGCAGGTTGATGGTATTTGGAGGCAGGACCTTTGATCAAGGTTATATGAGGTTATGAATGTGAGATCCCTATTATGGCAGTAGTGGCTTTATGAGGAAGAGAGATCTGAATTTGCATGCTCCTTGTCTCTTAAGGCATGACCCCCTCTGTGTTATGCAAGAAGAAAGCCCTTACCAGGTACCAGCACTTTGATACTGGACCTCCTAGCTTCTAGAAGCATGAGAAATTAAATTACCCTGCCTCAGGTGTTTTGTTACAGCAGCAGAAAAAAGCCCAAGACAAGAAATGTGCTCCTAGTTTGAGGCATCCCTGTTCCCAAGTCACTGACACCCTTGGCAGCTCTTGAGACTTCTTTGGTGACTGCCCTGAAGGCATGCTCTGGATCAACGCATACCTGCTTTGCCTTTCCCAATAGTTTTTGTTTGCTCACAAGATTCTTTGTATCTCTGACTTTGTGGTCTTGCCCTTCTCCAAGACGTTCATTCTTGATATTTGCTGGAGCCTATCTATTAATCATCAGGGATAATTGGGAAATGCATCATTAAGGAGAAAGACATCATGTGAACTGACACACTCCTCCCCACCCAGTTATCTCTACTGAGAAGATTTCTCCACTGAGAAAGTCTCTATGAATCTGGGAAATCTTACCCACTACAAGTGAGTTAAAAGATCCCAAGGGATCATGTTGGATGTTTCCAGAGTGGAACCAAAGCCTATTTCAGGCTATTTATATGATGACAGAATCTTCCAGCACTGATCAATGCCATGCACCGACACACAGATGAGTAGCACTGGCCTCTGCCAAGTCTTCTCCATTTGCAGGAGGCTCCCGCTTGCTAAGCATGTCACTCCCTTGCTGAGGGTTAACTGCTCAGGAAGTTTTTGATCTGTATGTGGAAAAAGCAACCAAACTCACTCCAGCAGGCAGTCAGTCTGCTGACTCTGCCCTTCCCTTCTCTGTCTCTAGATGACATCTTAACAGTCCTGTTTTGATGGGTGCCAGAGAGTAACTATTCTAAAATTAAAGGGCAAAGATATCTTTTTCATTTCTTTTTAAACTTGGACCTTGTAACTTAACCTTCCTCCCAGTGAATGTAGGCTTCTAGACAAGCTGGTTTCAGTGCTATAAAGATAAATGAAAAGCTAAGTGGAACTGTGAGCACCTCCTGGGCTATGCCTGAGGACTTGACAAGCCATTTATTCCAGGGCATAGCCTGGCTTCTTGCCAGGTCCTCTTGTGAAAGTTGAGCCAAAGAAAAACCCCAGTGAGGTGAGTGACCCCCATCATGGGTCTTTTGCTTCCCCGCCAAGCCCTTCCAGCATCTTGTGGATGCGCGCAATTAGTAATGCTTTTGAGGGTAATGATTTGGTGTCATGGAAAAAGCAGCCTTGCTCCAAGATAATGTCTGGTAAACTTTGACATTCCACCCTGAAATGGTCCTACACTCATGTAGCATCACCAAACAGCTGTATGATCTTATTACAGCATCTTCCTCAAGAGCCAGTTTGTCATTGAATCCATCCCCAAGCCCAGCTTTTCTCAAACAAAAGAAGCCCCAGTGTGTGAGGAGTTGGAATCAGCCAGATGGAAGAAAAAGTGGGGGTTGCCAAGGCTGGGATCACCTTCTAAAGGTTTTGGCCCAATACTCTTCATTTTGTATATGAGAAACTTAAGTTCAGGAAGAGAGACTCTCCCACAGTGGAAGAGCTGGGACAAAGGGATGTGACTTTCAAAATACCAAGCCAAGGTGCTAACCCACCTCTTAAAGTTGCAGAGCCCTTCTGTCCCTAGTCTTGAAGTATCTCCCAGGATAAGTCTCTAGACCAGGGGTTCAGTGGTATACTCTCAATAGTGAACAGAAATCAAGCTATATCTATGGGGTCTGCCAGGAGGAGAAATCTCACAGTTCTAGAGAAACTTGGTTTGGCCAAGTACAGCTTTTGCTAAACCCTAAGCACAAAATTCAACAAAATGAGGTATGGTCTGTGACCAGGTAAGGTAATCTTTTCAGGGGAACTATCAAAATGTTGGTGACCTAACAGCAGGTCATAAGCACCTTCTACTTATAGAACATTTTGCTATTGTGTTACAGGGGAAAGAGCATGGCAGAGTGACCATTCTAAGGGCCAGTCTAGTGGCTATAAATGGCAGTATTTTTATAGGTGCACACACAAGTACATGTGTGTCAATTAATGATGTATTTCATAAAGCCCAGATTATCCTCTAGCATTGTGTTATCATCCCTGTCTTGTTCAGGCTGTTGTTAACAACGTTTTTAGGTTTTAATGATACCCTCTCAATAAAATGTTGGCAACTTGATCAGGGTCCTCTTGAATGTTTTAAGGTAGCATTGGATGATGAAATCCAGAAGTCTGGCAATAATAAATATAGTCAAAAGAACTTATGCTCTTGGGTTAGAGAGACAATGGATTTCAATCTGAGCTAAGTGGTTTATTAGTTATGTGACCTTGGGACAGCCTCTTTGCACTCAGAGTTCAAGTTTCCAATCTGTGATACTGAAAAGTCCCCAGAAGAGTGAGGACTTCCTGTGGAAGTAAATGACTGTGTACCCACAAAATTTGTCCCTCATCTTCGGAAATATTTCATGGGTGTTGTACATGTACATATGCATTATACACAGTGCAATGAGTAAAAGGGGCTTCTCAGGGAACCAACAATGTGGCTGCTGAGGAAATCTCCCTCTCTAGAATTCACTGGAGGGATGTAGGCAGCACGTCTTTTCTTAGTACCAACACGATTTCTTCACTACAGAAATGGTGACAGGAATTTTTAGACACTTCTTTCCACAGTTCACATTATATTGTTTTTCCATAGCTGGTTTCAGTTTATACTAAGGCTCCCTCAAAGCTCATAAAGTTCCCTTTAAAACCTCATAAAATTTCACCTGTGGATGTTTATTGCCCACAAGATGTGAGCTATGTCCGCTTGGTTTTGATAGATTTACCATTATTAAACATGGATTCCCATTTCCCACAAGCCTTAAGAAGACAGCCACCTCCAGGTTTGGCATAATGGGCAATCCTGTTCATTCCCAGTGAGGAAACAGCTCAACTCTCTGAAACTGAGCTTAGCTGGTGGGCAAGGACTTTTGTTCCCAGGCTTCTGAGGCTCAGGAGTTTACTCCAGCTCTGGGCAATGGATGTGCTTCATAAAATTCACCCCAAGCTCATTCCAGCAGCTCAAACTCCTTCCAAGTACCATTCCCAGGAATCTATCCATGGATGTATGCTGACCTGCAGTCATAGGTATTGGAAACATTAGAAGAATGTTAAAGACGTTCTTCCTAAAATAAAAAGCAACTCTCAAGTGCATAAAAGCAATCCAAATGGACTCTGGAACAGCCGTCCACTGGCTTTAGTGTTATATGACAACCCCACGAAGAGCTGCACAAAGACATTGTGCCTCTCCTTTAGCTTCCCTTTTCCAGGCTGAACACCACCACCACTGCCCTGAATCTGACTTTAAGAATCTGCTTCTCGATCCCTGTTCTCCTGCTTGATCCTCTTTGGGATTACAATTTGAATGTCTGAATCTCTATGGCATCAAGAAGTGTTTAGATGTGGATCTCTGTCTCTATGACTTCACATTCTGTACCCATGATGGAGACTGGATGGAGAGGCACTTCAGGAGTAACCAGAGAGCACCCAAATGCACAGTCAGCTGAGAAAAGAAAAGCCTGGGTAAGTCCAAACAGGCAGGTAAAGCCCCTCGATCAGAGAATGCAATTTGAAGAGCGTAGGCTGCAGAGTGAGAATCGAGGGAAAACTACAGAGATACAGACTGGGATGATGCAGGAAGAGGAAGGGAGCATCTGCCAGACTTAACTCAAATTCCTAGGACTCACGTATGAGGGAGAGCGCGTCTGGATATCACTGACACACATAAGGCTCAGAGAATAAACTGGGGGAACAGTCAAGGTCAAACATTGATTTTTTAAAAAAATATTTTATTTATTATTATTTTTTATTTTTTATTTTATTATTATTTTTTGTCTTTTTGAGACAGGGTCTCCCTGTAGCCCCAGCTGTCCTGGAACTCACTATGTAGACTAGGCTGGCCTTGAACTCACAGAGATCTGCCGTCCTCTGCCTCCCAAATCCTTTGCTGGGACTACGGGCGTGTGCCACCATGCCTGGCTTATTATTTTTGTTTTATGTGTATGCGTGTATTGCCTGCATGTAGGTAAGTACACCTGTGTCATGCATTGCCCACAGAAGACAGAAGAGGCTGTCAGATCTCCTGGAACTGGAGTTACAGACAGTTGTTAGCTGCCATGTGGGTGCTGGGATTCGAACCCGGGTCTTCTGTGAGAATAGTCAGTGTTCTTAAGCACTGAGCCATCTCTCCAGTCCCAGAAACATTGGTTTTTTAATTATAAGCATTAACAGAAGGGGAGGCCAACAGTGCTAACCTCTGTTTTGTACATATTATCTGGACATCTTTGCTCTAAAGTACAGACATCCAGCTTATACTCCCTCAAACACAAAGGAAATTGGCTGGTTCACACATCTCCATGGTACTGGGACCAAAGGGAGCTCTTGCTTCAGGAACCGTTAAGCTCAAGTGATTATCATCTACCTCTTAGTTCCATGTTCTTTCTAGGCAGATGTTTCCGGATGCTAGGTCCCAGCAGTTTCTGTTTTCTTCCTCCTGGTTTCAAATTCAACCGAAAATGATCCATTTTTTTTTCCTAAGAATTCTTTAAAAAAATGTTTGTTGATTGAGCCATGTACACATTTCTGTGGCTCAGAAGTAAAGTCTAGTCGCAGAAAGCCCAGAATGAGGGAAGGGGGCTTCCCAGAGGGAAATGGCTTGGTCCTAGTGAAACATGGATGACAGATGCTTAGAAGAGCTCTGAAGCTTGGGCAGCAGGCCTGAGGCAAGAGCTTGCAGTAGGTAAAGAACTGAGTGTGCCCGCCAGCTGGAAGAACTCCTCTTTGTCAAAACTCAGCCCAACACTTCAGACATGAGCCAACCCACAAAACTCCATCTCTACAGGTCAAGCCTTGTCCTTTAGGCAAAGCCAGGCATGGTTTGCAGGTGTCCTATAGCCTCACCACCCCTGCTGGGCATGCTGACAAAGGCCCCTGACCCTTTTGCACATGCATCATCTTCAAGGACTTTGTCGCCATCTTTTGTAGTTGCGTTAGCTCTGTCCCTTTCGAACATCAGGAGACATGTGTGGAGTGAAGAAAGAACATGGAAAGCAGTCTTGTTTTCTCTTCCTCTGGCAATAATCACAATGCCTCATCAGAATTTTAAAATGCAAGGCTGGGCTCGGATGGATGAGCTCAGGTCCGACTTGGACATAAATGCCAGCGTAGAGCTGCTTAGCCCTGGACAACCAAGAGGGCTAAGTTGTTTATCTGCTGAGTTGTTTATCTTCCCCTGATCTTAATCTCAGCACACCCTCCTCCTTCCTAAAGGGAGAGGGGGCACTTTTTAAAGCAGGAGGCTTACTGGGGAGCCAGTGTGATTTTACCTCCACCCCAGTGGCATTTCTAGTCTTTCTTCTTTGGGCTAACAAGAATCTGCCCTTCCTTGTCCTCCCCTTCAACTCTTAGAGTTGGAAACTTTCCTAACAAAGCAAAGACAGAGGTGACAAATCATGTATGGGTCACATTCCTGTGCCTCCTCCTCTTGGCTACCCCCAGGCAAAGGGAGTCTGGAAACCGTCAAATGATTCAGAAAGTGAGCTGAATGGGTTCTTCATGCTCCCTGTGTGGTGCCAGGGAGCAGAGCAGTGACTGATGCAAGAATTGGACAGAACTAGAGCTCAGGATTCCCACACCAAGTATTTAGGAGAAGTGTTCAATGGAGCTGTGCATAACTAGCAGCTGTGCTGCTGGTGGTTGGGTAGGGCTGGGTTCTGTTCACAGGATATGCTCAGCCAGTGCTTACATAGGTCCCCTCTCTGTTCCTAGGGCCTATTTTATTGTAAAAAAAAAAAAAAGAGTAATGGCACTAAGCAATGGAGGCAGTTAGGACGGGACTAAGCCAAGTCTCAGAGAATAAAGAAATGTCATTTATCCCATCTAGACATGACAAGCAGACAGTGATGGAAAGCGGCTGTCATGGGACAGCGGCATGCACCACACTGTTCTTCAGCACATTCAAAAGGTTATGTATGTTTGGTACAGGGAGGCAGGCAGCTTGCAGACAGTCCCTGTTAAAGGAAAAGCCTCCCTGGATCATGGTTGAGCCTTTTTTTTTTCAGTATTTCCCCAAGACCCTGCACTCTGACCTCACACTACCCAGTTGGCTGACCCTCTCCAGGATCCTTCTCTATCTCTCACCCACTTCCAAATCCAGGAGTCCCTTCTCTGGCTTTCCTGGGATAGGGGCTAAAGTGAATGGCCTAGTTTGCCCCTGCTACCATTCCCAGTCAATATAAAACGTAAGATTGGTCTTGTTTGCATCAGGGCTGCCCTCCGTGATTGATTAGAGTCTTTCCTGCTTTCTTCATATAAAAATTTTTAAAAGATCAGATTATAGGGTTTTTGAACTTGGAAGTTAAAGGACATGAAACATCATTACAGCCAAGAGGAGCCTATGGAGGCATGACATCTGTATGAGGTGTACCCTGCATGGGATCCTAGAACAGAAAAAAATGCTCTTTGTGGAAAACTAAGGCAATCTGAGTAAGGGAATTTTCTTCCTTTGAAATTCTGTGTGAATAATCCCAATTTCCCCCCAAATTACAGATATCTTGAAGAGAATTAAACTGTGAAACTATAAAAATAAAAGCACAAAGACAGATGTTTTAATATGTATACGTGCAATTTTCATTGATTCTTTGCAGCCAAATATTTCAGTGGTATAAAACTGACCTCCACAAACAGT